CTGAGCGCACAGGTTCAACTACTCGGTCCCTCTGGGTAGCTGGCTGTGACCTAGCAGTGACTACCATCTTGCCTCTTGTCAGCTCTACTATACACCTGGGAATTCAGATCATACACATAAACATATAGGACTGCTGTCTGCCAACCCTATACATGTTCTTGGGTACACTCCCTGCTAGTTCAGCCTATCCACCCACCTGTCCACCCATATACCCATGTTTGCCTTGAGGTGAAGTTATTAATTTTAGTGTAATAACTATTAATCAATCTTCCCCTCTATGGTTGTTAGTGCTTTGTGTGTCCTGTTTAATACATCTTTTCAAAGGCCAAATCATGAAGATAATCTCCTATACTCTCTTGTAGAATGTTTGTCTTAAAAGTATTTATAATATTCAAGGAAATGACTTTGGTATATGGTATGAGGTAGAGATTATTTTGTCTGTTCTATACGAATATCTAAATTTTCCAGAATGATTTATTATAAAGGCTGTTCTTTCCCTACTGTTCTGTAGTTTACAGTGGTCATAATTCATGTCCATATATGTGTAGATTTGTTTCTTGGCTCTATTAAGAGCACTACTCTATTTTTTATACTATTATGCCATATTGTCCTAACTAGAGTAGTTAAAAAAAAAATTAGTACCTGTTAAAGTATGTCTTTCTATCTTGATCTCCTTTAAAAAATGTTTTAGCTATTCTTGGTCTTTTTATTATCATGTTAGACTCAGTTTGTCAAGCTACATGCCAGTAATTTTAGGATTTTACTTAATCTGCATTGAAACTCTAGTTGTATTGTCCACTACAATAGCTGCTAGACAGATACAGCTATGGAGCATTTGAAACATAGGCAGTCTAACCTGTAGGAATAAATTAAACTTTGTATTTCAAAGAATAAATATGATAAAAAGAACCTCATTAATAATTTTTAAATGCTAATCACATTTAGCCACAAAAGGAAGACTGGGCAATCTACTTCCATAAAGATTTACTGCCTAAGAAACCCAAAGTGGGTCAGTATGAGTCGGAATTGACTCGATGGCAGTGAGTTTGTTTTTTTGTTTTTAATTATAAATAATAATATTTTTGATATATTGGGATAAGTAAAATATTATTAAAATTAATTTCAACTATTTACATGCATTTTTTTTAATATAGCTACTAAACCCATGGCCATGGAGTCAATTCCAACTCACAGTGACCCTACCGGATAGAGTAGAACTATCCTAAAAGTACGGCCAAGGTTATAAACCTTTATAGAAAAAGACTGCCTCACCTTTCTTCGATGTACCAGCCAGTAGGTTCAAATTGTCAACCTTTCAGTTAGTTAGCAGCCAGATGCTTTAATTACTACACCACCAGAGCTCTTATAATGTGGCCACTAGATAATTTAAAGTTATATATATATGACTTGCATTATATTTCTATTGGACAATACTGATCTATATAACTTACATCTTTACAGCACTGGGCATGTCAAAATATGAATATGGTATATGCTTTCAAGTTATTTTGGTCTTTATATTCTCTAAATCTAGTTTTCTGCGTAAAGGGCTTATGTAACTTTTCCCAGATATATCCCTAGGTATTTGATACTTTTTTTAAACTACTGTAAACATTATCCTCTTTTAAAATTCCATTTCTTGTTTACTGACCTTATATACAGAAACTTTGCTAAACTCTAATTTATTCAAATAATTTATATCAAGATTTGGATTTTCAATGTACACAATCATGTTTTTTCCTGGTTCATTCATGACTGAAGAAGCTAAAAGATGGCAGCAAATTGAGCTGCACTGAATAGTGAGTGGCTCTCCACAGTCTGTCCAATAGCTGAGTCTCACCCATCAGGCCCCTGAAGGCTCACTAGACATCTTCCGAGTATCCCATTCCACTGTTTGGAACCATAATCTTTCTTGCTTTTGTGAAAGTGATGAAATACCCAAATTGTAAAAATTCAGTTCTTTTCCTATTTTTCTTTGTTGTCCATGACAGAACCAGTTTAAAGCCCTGAATTAAAGGCAAATAGGAATTGCCCATAAGTTTGACATTCCTAACCCAAGGACTGACTATGGCCTCTAAGACAATGTGAACAAAAGTAAAGTAATGGACATCTTTGTTATATTCATAATCTTAAAAGTAAATCTTTCAGTATTTCACCAATAACACAAAGATAACATGACTACAGGTAGTCCCAGACTTAAAACGTATCAGAATTGCAACACACTGTACTTACAATCATCCACTTTGTTTTTGTTATCTTCTCTTTGGTAGTATGCACTGTGAACATTCCAGTGTGTAATTTTCTGAGGTCATCATTATCTGTAAGTTTATATGTAATGTTTCTAACCCCCAAAGACAGACAGAATTTATAAAGATATTGATAATAAAGGGTAATTACAATGAAAACAGAATAAACAAGAAAAGTATTTGACTTACGATGGAGTCTGTTGTAATTTCGGGACTACTTGTACTCAAAAAATATATGGGACTTGCTCTTCTTTAGGGAGCTCTGGGGGCAAAAGGCTAAGGCATTTGAGTGCTAACCAGAAGGCTGGCGGTTCAAACCCACCAGCCCAGCCACTCCTTGAAAATAAGACTGGGCAATCCACTTTTGTAGTGATATCACCTAAGGAACCCAAGGAGGGGTTGCTATGAGTTAGATCCAACTCAACTGCAGTGAGTTTAATTTGGTTGTTTTTTTTCTCTTATTTAAGGCATATCATATTGATGAATTTCTTTACTTATTTTCTTACACTGTAGCTGACATGGTGAAATCTCATTTTCTAGTTTGAACCATTTATTTTTAAATACCATCTAAACATATAGAGGAGAGTACTTACT